TGAGATATATAGACGTCCCCACAGAGACCCACAATTTGTAGCCAATGAATGAGCCAAGCCAGCAACTACCCCTTGTGGTCCGTTTGCCCAGCTGCTCATTACGAGTTGCTGTCGGACCCAACATCCTCTTTCTTTCTCTCTTTCATAAAGCTTTAATTTAATTTGCCCCTTGCAAACTTTGACAATAATATCCATAGAGTACCCACTTAAATGTCCGAGTTAGAGGTAGGTCAGAGAAGGAATAGGGATCAATTAATGGAGCGGTAGTTTATTGGTATGAAATGAAAGAGTCAAATCTCACTTACATGGTCTCACTTATATGTAAATTACATATACTAGTTCTTAACTCTCGCATGAGGATACCATCGTAAAAAGAGAAAGTAGCAGGGGTGACCAACTAGGTAGGAGGGTGTGTGTGTTGGGATTGAAGTGTGATGCGTCGTTCTCGGGGGTTGATTTTAATGGCTAGACGTGAAAAAGCAGGAAGATGAGTCGTTTTTTCCTTTTTAAATGGTGAGGGGTACAGAGAGTTTTTTTGGTTTTAAGTTCACTTTCTTTTTTTGGGGGGTGGGCGAATGCAGAACACAATCATTATTTGGGGCACCATGCAAATGTCACTGTAAGGTTGGTCTGATAAGCACTCATTTTTATATGGGGCTACTCCTATTCTCCTTTCCAAAGTGAATTCCTCAGTGCTTACTTGTTACCCATCACATCCCCCACTGTGTTGCTTTTTCTCCTCACTTTCAAGTTTTTACACATACAAGCCCCCTTTCCATTATATTTTTAAAAAGTAATAAGTACATATGTGTCTCACATAACTAATCAGTTTTTTTTTTATTAATTATGGATTTACTTGTCGTAAATGGAATCTAATTATTATCAGTTTCCCACTGCTCATGCGCGCCTTTCCGTGTTTCCCCAACTTCAAAAAGTTGTGATGCGTTTTCGTGAGGGTCCTCCTCAACATGAAAACAAATTATATCTAAATGCTCTATTTTAATACCTTACTACCCATATAAATGGGTTGTGTGTGTGTAAAAGTTGTGATGCTTTCATGGTAGGTGATGGATCTGAATTCTATGAATTTTGGATAGGAAGCGAAGAAATTTTTTAATTCCCCAGGAGAACACTGTGTTATCAGAGAAGTAACAATTCTTATCAACTCTTCTTTTCCGAATCAATCTATAACAACAGAAAGTTAATCCAATTTAAGAAATTTACTATATCCGACAATTTAGGAAAAACATATTACCATGTCATCGTATCAGGATTTGGTTCCCATTTTAGTCTAATAAATTTGGTAGCTGGCTTAATCGCAATATAAAAAGCCCCTTGCATAATTAAATGAAAGGTATATCGATATGAATGATTGTCTAGCAACCTAGATGGAGGGAGATGCTTTCAGTAACACTGACATTAAGCTGATTGTTTAATGATTCCCAAAACATAAAAATCTCGTAGAGAATAATTGACACCGATCAATATATGCATTTTTTTATATAAAGGGCTGATGATAAGCTTGATGTGCCGCAGGTTGTACGTATAAGACATATAATACACGCTCACACACACCTAAAGACTAATATCCCTTTCAATATAATGATGAGTTTATTAAATCATTGATGAAACAGTGCAACTAAATGAGCATCCTTAATTGAGAGTGATGGGTAAATTATATTTAACGAGGGGGGGAAAAGACAAAGGTACCTTGTGCCCATCATGGGCATCTCAAGTTGAAAGTTCTCATCAGCTTAAATTGTGCGATATACCTCCATTAGTCTCTCTTTTTCAATCATCTTCTCCAATCCACTTTTTAATAATTACTCCTAGATTCCTTTTCTTAATCACTCATTTTGGTTCCTGATTAGACGTTTTCTATGATAAATTATGTTAATCATGTTGATTGTTGGAATGTGAAATCACATCTCTCCACCTATTCCAGTTTAATTAGGACGTATAAGCTTTTATATAGGCACTTAAATCTAACTATTCCTTTTTCATTTGTGCCTCTTGCTCTATATTAGTCATTACTTCTTTTTCCCTCCCCTTGCTGATGCTCTATAATTTTACACCAGCTTCTTTGTGAATTTTTTGACTTCCAAATTTCAATATTATATGTAGTTTCTACTTTTATTTCCCTCATATAGCTTTGGGAAAAAATAATCGATTTTTCCTTTTCTCTATTGTTGAATTCAGAAGTCGCAAACACTACTGCTCATAACCACATGTGCCCCAATGTTCTTAAATATATTTGTTTGCGCAGGCAAATTACTTATTCTTTTTGGACAGACAAATGACTGCCCCAGTATATAGAAAGATGGACAGGCACAACGTATAATCGAGAAACTTTAGACTGAAGTTAGGTACGTAAGAAGAAATTTTAATTATAATTTAAAGCAATAAATTATTAAGATTTTATTGGCAGATAATACTGCAAGCGAGTATATAAACTCTGCAATTTTTTTAAAAATTGCATATATCGCATTTTTATCCAAAAAAAAAATCTACAATATTAATATATGTGTAAGATTTAATTCAAGTCTAATCCAATAAATAATACTACCTCTTATTCTTAATATAAGAACATGATAACAAATTTAAAGATATTAAGAAAATTAGTTAGAATTAATTATTTGTAATAAATTTGTGTTATTTTTCTTAAATTGCATTCTTTAATCATATGTATTGGTACTACCTACCTTTTGGCATGTAAGTATCCATACAATCAATAAGAATATTTTAAAAAAATCATAAAATTAGGAGATAAAATTGATTGAGATAATATATTTAGAATAAATAAAACTCCCAACTTCTTATATCAGGGATTGGAGATGGTATATATATACTACTTTCTTTGCATGAATGTGAAGACAATATTTGAACGATTCAGTGTATTCATGTTTAAAAGATATTGCTCTGCAAAGCTCGTGTTCCCTCTTAGATGAGAGCACATAACTATAAGTTCTGCAAATAACGTTTTTTGCAGCAAGAGAAAATGAGAACTTTTAAGTACTGCGCATTTAGGCCTGAATATAAAATTCACAACAGTAAACCATCACTTTACACTGAAGCGATGTTCCTTAAAATTTAACATACAAGAGCCTGTGTGTGAACAACGCCAGGTATCTAATGTCTTCGTGTCTATTTATATATACATATATATATGTATGTATAATTGTATATCCATCAACAGTCACACACACACAGAGATCTAGTTTTGCTTACCTGGGCACGTAGTCTGTGAATAATATAAAATTGGGTAGCCATTGTTAGGGAAGGGTTTTGTATGTGTATATTTTATGAGGGAGATATGACAACTGATGATATGCCACATGATGTGAGTCTATACATTGTATATTTTGCTGCTCATTTCCACATGTCGCTTTCCAGTAAAAGGTTATCCAATAATAACGTGGACAAATTTTTTACACAAATAGTGAGCAATATATATATATAGAGAGAGAGAGAATCTTTACACAAATAGTGAGCTATATATGGAGAGAGAGAGAGAGAGAGCTCCACCACTTTATATGGTGTCACCTGGATAATGATGTTTGGGAGGTAACTACTCTATCTTCATGGTTAAGTTATTATTTATTCAAGTTTAATTTAATCATCATCTCCATTAATCGTGTTAAAAACCAAGCTATTAAGCCTGCTCATATTGATGCAATGATCGAGCTTTAATTTTAATAATTTGATCTGTGGATGAAAATAAAATAGATTTAGTTTAATTACACGGGCATAATGTTCAAAACCCTGTAGCAATAATGTTATGGTGGAGACCGACAACGTAATTAATTACATGTGGCCCTAAACCATCGCAATTAATTGAAACCAACTTTCTATTTTACCTTTCGAAGCAAAGATAAGAATTCATTGGTGGGTGTGACCGTTCATGTAGCGATGGCGACGTTTTGTGGGGACAGCCCTTTGGAGTTTTTTGCATTATTTTTGATATAATTTGTGTGGCACTTGTTTACCGCCTCATAAGTGGCGCCTCCATGGTGCTTCTACCACATCATTATTGATCATATACAGCTTCCAAAGTTAAAAATCAATTCACGAAAAGACATTTTAATTTCTCATAATAGATATTAATGATATTACCTTCCTGTTTATTCCCCTCTAAGTGGCCATGCTTTCCTATGTACACCTATGCACTTGATATTTATAAAATCAATTCTCATTCCTGTACTGCTTTATATTTCCTAACCCCCACATATAGAATCGCAGAAAAAAGGAAAGGAAAGAGTTGGGTCTCAAAAACTAATCAGGACCAAGACATGTCTCTGACTCAGAGAGTTTTTACAGAGATACTTACAGATCGTCTACTAATAAAGTTCTCATATTAATAGCGGAATTTGAACTCATAATCTTATAGATTATGAATCAACTCTTTATAACTAGACCAATTTTTATTAGTAGACTTTTGGGGATTGGGGAAAAAGGAAATTAAAGGTCAAACGAGAAGAGAAAAGTTAATGTATGTACGTAGAAGCAACGTAGAGACGAAAAATATCATGGTTAGGTGTGGCGATGAAGTGAAAGGCCTCAGATTTTCACAGTATCTTATTACATGCCGGGCCCCACTTAATTGCCACTTTTCTTCTGTTTTCCTGTCCTCTGATCCGTAATTAAGATGATGATTTCAACTTTGAACAAGACGTTGGTTCTGAATTTCTACGATTTTAATTGAACTTGATGGTTCCTATAAGTGCGCGTTTGGAAGGCGTTGTTTGCAAGAGAAAACAAGAGGGAGTGGTTTTGTGATCCCAAGGCTATTCGTTTCCGTGCATGCCAAACACAAAATAGTGTGTAGGATAGAGCTACGATTGGCGTGAGAGTGCGTACAACAAAACAAGAAAATTACTTGCGAACTAAATATAAATATATATAATATGATATTATAATATCAGTAAGTAAAGACTACTAAAAAACAATGAACAGGAGTCACATTAAATGGACCACACTTTTTATATACATGTTAGTCATAGGTTATTTCAAAGGAACTAATTGTAAAGTTGAATACTGGAGAAGCTAAGGGGGGGAGAATTGAATTGCAGTGAAGGGAGCCAATGGGTGTGTGAAAGCAAAAGGGAGGCTTTTAGTTGCCGATCCTTCTCTTCCGAGCTCGTGATGATGGATACCTTGTCTCCATAGACGCCACCTTCTCACCCTCCCTCCTTCTTCTCTTCTCTTCCTCGCGCCTTCTTTATCCATTATTGGCCCCAAGTACGGTCACTCCTCGGCTTGTCTCTGCATCCATCCTTTTCATTTTCCTCTTCTTTCTAATAATCTCTTGATTTAACCATACTCTCCTCTGGCCTCCTGCAACTTTCCCGGGTTTCGTGTCCCAATTAGCCGGTTCTATTCCCTCTCAGCATCATAGCTGAAACTCAGCTTCAAGTGGGCTGATTAGGGTGTCGACAGCCAGGCACAGAAAAGAAAAGAGCACAGAAAAACAAGTTGATTTGTCCTGGTGTTGCTTGCATAGACGTTTGAGAAGACTAATTATAATATATATATATATAGGTAACAGCTTTTTTTCCCTTTTTCTTTTTTGTGGGAATTGATAGTGAGATATGGCGACGTTCTTTCATGGAGGCAGTTCAGAAATCCAATCATCTGGTGCTTCTGCTGCCGCCGCCGCTGGTGATGGCTTCCACACACTTTACCTTCTCAACCCCAGCACCACCACCCCCTACGCTCCTTACTCCGATACAAGTCCCCACCCTCAACCGACGCCCAACATGCTTCTTCTCAATCCGAATAACTCTCCGCCCAACGCGCTCAACCTCGCCACCCTCTCCCACGCGCCACCTCCTTCCTCCTCCGACCATAACCCCGACGATCCCACCCGTCCCTCCTTCCTTGGACACGAAATCTCTGCCTTTCACGGCTTCACCCCCTCGGCTACTCCTCCTCGTGTCCACTACAACCTCTGGGGTTCAATGATTGATCCCCACCCAACATCAGCCGTGGCAACCGCGTCTAGCAGTTCTGGTGGGGCTCCCTCCGCCTCCGCCTCCGCCACCTTAGACGTGTCGCCCCATATGAGTTTCAGGAGGCCTACTCAGCAGGGTCTGTCGCTGAGCCTGTCATCTCAACAGACAGCTTATAGGTCGCTTTCCGGCGAGCTAGACGTTCCTGGACAACCTCATCAGGCTTCAGCCATACCAACCTCGAGCTGCGATGAAGTGATGAGGATTCTGGTTCCGAGTAATCATGCTTCGTCGAACGGAATTTCGAGTGTGCAGAGTTTTGTTTTAGGATCCAAGTATTTGAGAGCGGCTCAGGAGGTTTTGGATGAAGTCGTTAATGTTGGTAATAAGGGAATCAGCCAAGAGGGGGCCATGAAGGAGAAAATGAAAGCAAATAAAGAATCGACATCCGGTGGGAATCGTGACGTTTCAAGTGGTGGTGATGGAGGAGGAGGAGGAGAAGAAAATAGTGGAAATGGTAAGCAAGGCGGTGAACTCAGTACAGCACAGAGACAAGAACTTCAGATGAAGAAGTCCAAGCTGGTCACCATACTTGACGAGGTACGGTATATTACGCGCACACGACACGCCAAGTTTTATATACACATGCAACTTCCGGAATTAACTTTACACTATTAAAAAGAGGGGAAAAATTAAAGCTGATGCGGAGATTTAGATACAACATCAATCACCTATTATACGGCAATTGCGTTTGATCTTCTCGTTGTACTTCAATTAGGGTCTGATTTTGTCAGTTATATATTCGGCCTGGGGCTATTAATTCAGTAATTTGGGAAAACTGTGATGGGGACTAGAGGATTTGAGAATGTGACGCTGCAAGATGGGTTTGTGAAATTGACAGGCACAAGTCTATCTCTCAGTTATCAATTCTTACCATCCTCTCCTGAAATTATGAATGGAAAAGATATATGAAGAGAGAATTTGGTAAGTGTGTCAGAGAATAATTTGGGTTTGGGCCCATTTTCGGTCAGTTGCAGAATTTTAGAACTACAGCAGTGCCATATATATATATATATATATATTATTGATTGAGATTGTGGAATTAGGTCCAAAGCATAACAAAGCACTTTATAGATACACATGGGTCCATTCTTCTTTCTAATGACAGCTTTGTTTTGTGCTTGCAGGTGGAACAAAGGTACAGACAGTATCACCACCAAATGCAGATAGTGATAGCTTCATTCGAGCAGGCTGCGGGATATGGTGCAGCAAAAACTTACACATCCCTTGCCCTAAAGACCATCTCCAAGCAATTTCGATGTCTCAAAGACGCAATCGCTTCACAGATAAGAGCAACAAGCAAGACCTTGGGTGAAGATGATTGCTTGGGAGCTAAGGTAGAAGGTTCGAGGCTGAGGTTTGTGGACCATCATCTTCGCCAACAACGGGCTTTACAGCAACTGGGAATGATGCAGCACAATGCTTGGAGACCCCAAAGAGGCTTGCCTGAACGAGCCGTCTCCATTCTTCGCGCTTGGCTCTTCGAGCATTTTCTTCACCCGTAAGAAACTCTCCCCGCTATGATTCTACAATATTCCAGATACGATTATCTCCCACTTGCCTTCCATTTATGTTGTATAATATCAACAATTCATACTTAATTTTTGTGGTTGGCAGCTATCCCAAGGACTCCGATAAAGTTATGCTCGCAAAACAAACCGGGCTTTCTCGCAGCCAGGTATGTATAGTAGATGTCTATAATGGATTTCAGTTTCGATACGATACTTGTGGTGTTAGTTCAATCAGAACTGTTAGTTTGTGATCGATCAATGTAAACTAACAGAAGTCTCATTATTGGAGAGGGCGGGAACATTGCCCGATTTGGAATAGAGAAAATTGGAAAGCTTGTGCATATATGGCTATATGCTTCCAAAAACAATAAAGACACTTACATTTTTGTTGGGCATATCTTGTTTGTTACGATTCACATGCACATGGCAGTTAGAATAACGCAAAAAGATTTGGGTGGATGAATGTAGGTGTCAAACTGGTTTATAAATGCGAGAGTTCGGCTATGGAAACCCATGGTGGAAGAAATGTACGTGGAGGAAATGAAAGAGCAAGGGGGGAATAATAAGGAGGTGGGGTCAAGCAGCAAGGATAATAATCCACAGCCACAAGATCCAGGTGGGCTTCGGCTCGATCATCATCATCATCAGATGAAAGGCTTCCAATCAAATCCAGATCATCAAAGCTTGAATAACCAAACAACTACTCCGACCGACATCTCAAATTCCTCAATCTACCAGCTCCATCCTCCTCATCACTCTTCAGGATTCGCCGTAGCTGCAGGATCAATAAGAACGAGTCCCAAAAAACCAAGAAGTTCAGAAGTAATGAACAACTCGCCAAGCAGTATCGTGTCGGTGGACATAGAAATGAAGCCTGGAGACACAGGGAGATCAGAAGGCAACGCAAAGTTTCCTCTGATGAGTAATAATGGGAGTGATGGAGGAGGATATGGAGGGTTCACCATGGAAGAAATGGGAAGGTACAACGTGGCCGACCAATTGGCTCCGAGGTTCCATGGAAACGGTGTGTCGCTCACTCTGGGACTTCCCCACAGTACAGACAACCTTTCCCACCATGGATTTCTGTCGCACAATATGAACTTGACGACTGATGGAACCGACTTCTGTGAGATGAACGCTCCGCCGTCTCATTCCAACCCCAGTTATGAGAATATGGATCACATTCAGAACAGAAAGAGGTTTGCTGCCCAGTTATTGCCAGATTTTGTGGCCTTGTGACCGCTCGTTGCTTGCTAGCTGCTGATTTCACTTCAGTGTCTTGTTTCCACGCTAACTTAGCACAACACTACTTGGCTACTGGCTGGCACACACCGCGCCTTGCTTTCTTACCACCCTTGTTATGCTTATATATCTTCGTAAGCTGATATTATATGTTGTAGCATAGGACTATATATATACGCACTCTGGAAGAGAATTCTGTTATATATATATATATTGCCAAGTCGCCTATAGGATTTATGTAGTCGGGGAGGGGATATATTCTATAATGGTATATACATACAAGCATTAATAATTAGTTTGTAAAATTTAGTTGTATTTTTTCCTGTAATTTTTTATTAAAATTGTTACAAAATGAGTGGTAAAGATCTATTTAGGCACGACAAATACATCTCATGAGAGAGAGGAGAGAATTTCACTACAATGGCCATCCCATTTGTAGCGGGTGAGCCGGGCTTACGATAGCAGGATAGGAAATATCCCTTGTTTTATCCATTTTTTGAAATATTGGATAATAAATGATGATTGATATTAAGCACTTGATTATAATATGTTGTATAAGATCAGTTTCAAATATGATTTGTTATTTAGTTATAACTAGTTTAACTAATATTAAATTCGATCCGAATTTTTTTTTTGGGGGTAATTCGATACGAATTAATTTAGTATTACTTAATTCAGTCAAATAGTCTCATTAAATATTTCAACTCATAATAAGATGGATCCAAAATCTAACAAAAATAGGAAGGGTTCTGAGTTTGCACGTATGCTCCACGAAGGGATGCGCGTTTGTTTTGGGAGGCGGTTTTGATGTGTCGTGGTCGTGACTTTCGACGCGGGCATACATATACATGTATGTGTGTATTTGTTTGAGAGGATTTGGGTAGTAATTTCAATCTCCGATCCTAATTATAAGATCTTATTTGTAGTCTACAAATCAAGTCTTATAATTAGAACTATAAACAAAGTTTTATAATTATGACCGAATATTGTATATTGGCACTTCTGGATCTGCTGCATGCATGTGAAAATACTAAACATTCCATTCACCCTGTTATTAAATATTATCTCCAGTCCTAATTATAAGATATAATTTGTAATCTCTGATCCTAATTATAAGACTTAATTTGTAGTCTACAAACAAAGTCTTATAATTAGGACCGGAGGTAGTAATTAAGAGGAGAGGGGAACTCACCTTCAACCAGAACAAATGGTGATGATGAAAGCTGTTTTGAATTCATGAACAACAGATAACACAATAATAAAATAATTAAAATGTATATTGGTCGGAAGGTTTTTGCATCAGCGAGCGAGTTTTAAAGAGGTACGTACCTTAAGGGACGGATGTGCTGAAAGGAAAATCAGGTAGAAGTTGGGCGTACAGAAATATGAGAAGCGGTTTTGGTATAAGGAAGAAAGGTTGGTGCATTATATTATGAGGGAGTTAGAGGTTGGATTGGCTGCCACAAGCAGTTCAAGGGAGGTTCCCCACAAAATAGAGTATAAAATTATGAGTTGCCAAATTCACTATGGTGCTGGTGTGCCTGATGTACGGGAACAGAGTCCTGTAATGGGATCAATCTGCGACACAACTTCATCACTCATCTACTGGAGGGACCGGCCCATATTTGGTTCTGGGCCCCTAAGCCGTATCCCAGTCACGGCAGCTTCCGTCAGACCCCCAATTCTTTCTTCGTCACCTGTAAAGGAAAGCATCATCCTGAGCCCAAGTACCCCACACATAAACACAGCCGAAACAAAGAGCAACTTCTCAGCAACAATGGATCGGGCCTTTCTTCCCCAGCTTCCCCGGGGCTACTTGTGATTTTATAGATTGGATTTAATTTTTGACCTCCTATTTTGCGTGGCTTAAAGTGCTACTCCATGTGTGAATATTGACCTGTTTTGCCAACAGCCAAAAAAAAAAAACGAGTACTGTGTAGTTTGGAGTCCATTTTCCAACACGCAGTGGCACTCCATACGCGACGTCAAAACGTGACGGGATTACTATTAGTTGGGTTTTGATTTGATCTTCAGCCTTTAGTTAAAAAAATTCCAAAATGCAAAAGAAGAAGAAGAATTTGACTGACATAAAAATAATTAATATATAATTTAAAGAAATTGTTTACTGTTACAATAAACGTCAAAATATTTTTTTTTTTTTGGGCTCACTTAACAAGGATGGATACAGTGAAATGATATGCAGCATTCAAATCATGGAACACAGTTGGCAAAAATAAATAAACGAATCACGGAACATAATGTGACTGGACTTTAGAACCGAGGAAGTGATTCCTAGTCCCACAAAAATAAAAAGGACTGATGAAGGCATGAAAATTCCAAGCATTTATAAATTAGTAATATTATTCAGCTAGAGCGATAACCACGACTTGAACGCGCTGAGACAGACGCATTGTTTTATTTTGACTGTTGGAAAAGTCAGTCCTTGACTCTTTGAATAATAATGATGATATGTACTGCCTTCTGTTCTAGTTATAAGATCCTATTTGTTTGTAGACTATAAACAGGATCTTATAATTAGAACCGGGAGTAGTATTTTATTTACGAGGATACCACTGCACAAGCGCATCATTAATTCGTTATCTTTACAAACCAACAATTCATAAGATCATAGTCTGATATGGTACCCCAGAAATATAATTTGAGCTAGAAATCACAAGCAATCAGTTCTGTGATGTTATCGGCCCTTAAATCCACATAGCATCGCTCCCCATGCCCTTCTTTAAACTTTACCTCAAATTCCCACATCCTGGTATCTTTACTTTTTCTTATATATAAATGCATGTAAATTCAAGCCTTTTTTTTTTTTTTGCGTTGTCATGTAGTAATTTGGTTTTACTTCACCGCCGTCATCATATAATATTCTTAATTTTCATATATGATAATAAAGCGCTCGTATTTCTTCTGGCTGTTACGTCAATGAGCTTGAGACTTATTACAAGCAATTGCAAATATGATCCGCCGAGAGGGATGTGCAGGTGATCCGTTGCCTTAAAATTAAATGAAATATATCTAGCTAACGCTTAACGGATTGTTAGAAAATTAAATTTCAAACTATTCCGATGAAAGAATATTCAGTTAGTCAAAAATAACATCACATACCCATCTATAAACTCACTCTGAAGTTTCTTTTAATTCCTGCTCTCTTTCTTTCCCTAATCTATGTTACGGTTGACATAAACAGAAAAATAAAATAAAACAACGTATTTACTCAAACTGTGCCTAGTAGTGCAGATGTGGGGACGCATGACCTGTGCAAACTAATCTGGAATACATATACTCTATATTTTAGCCTTAGTTCAAAAGCTACGCTAATGTATTTCAAAAGATTACTGCTCGTCGGTTTGACCAATGTCTTTGACTGGTAAACTTATTGAAGGAAGGGGGGACCCACCCTTTCGTCTAGAAGTGGCCTGGTTCCATTAGCACAACGTCGCCCGGTATATATATTACAGCCACCGTCTCTTACTCGATAAGGCGAATAATATATTAACCATTTCCTTCTCATCTCCCTCCTCCTCCTCCTCCTCCTCTTCTTCTTCCTCCCATAGCCACCATCCATGGCAGAAATTGAAGTTCCTGAATATTTCGTGTGTCCCATTTCTCTTGAGATCATGAAAGATCCGGTGACGACCGCAACAGGTATAACCTACGACAGAAAGAGCATCGAGCGGTGGTTGCTGACGGCGAAGGAGAGGAAATGTCCAGTCACCAAGCAGCCACTGCTTCCTGACTCAGCCTTGACCCCTAACTCTACCTTACTCAGGTTAATCCAGGCTTGGTCTTCAGGAAACGTTCACAACGGTGTCGTTCGGGTTCCAACCCTGAAACCCCTCTTCACCTCCATCCACGTTCACAAGCTCATTTCGGATCTTCGGATTCCTCATCTGTATGAAACGACATTGAGAAAATTGGATGCTTTGGCCAGACACAGCGAAACCGACAGAAGGTGCATGGTGGAATCTGGAGTACTCGAGGCTATGCTTTCCGTAATTACTCACAGTTTCAATGAAGGTATAACAATTTGCCTTGAAGAAGCTTTGAGAATTTTTCGTTTACTCTGGGCAGCATCGTCATCCACGGCTCACATGAAGCCTCTTTTTTGTGCAAACTTAGACTTTATAACCTGCTTGACCTGGGCTTTGCAAATTGACGCGAGCAACAAAGTTAATATAGTAAATGAAACGATGCCTTCTTTGAAGTCGACCATTGAAGCCGCAGATCCAACTCTTCTGGGAAGCTTAGAGGTTGAATTTTTCAGAGAGATAACAAGGGTGCTAAAAAACAGAAGGGTCTCAGAGCAGGCTATCAAATCAGCCTTGCAGGTTCTCATAGAAACGTGCCCATTGGGAAGAAACCGAACGAAAATCGTAGAATCAGGTGCAGTCTTTGAATTAATTGATCTTGAGTTAGAAAAACCAACAAAGAAGATAACGGAGCTAGTGTTCAACCTTCTGGTGCATCTGTGTTCGTGCGCTGATGGGAGAGAACAGTTTGTGCAACACGCAGCGGGCATCGCCGTGCTGTCAAAGAGGATTCTGAGGGTTTCGAATGCAACTGACGATCGAGCAGTTCATATATTATCGTTGATAGCTAAGCACTCGTCCTCGAATGATGTCGTTTTGGAGATGTTGAGGGTGGGAGCTGTGTCCAAGCTTTGCATGCTGATGCAAGCAGACTGTGCTTCTTACTTGAAGGAAAAAACAAGAAGTATCCTTAGGTTACACTCCAAAACTTGGAATAATTCTCCCTGCATTCAACTATATTTGCTAACCAGGCACCAAAGGTGATCCACACCTGTCAAATATTCTCCCACTTATTTTGTTTTTGTGAAAATACACAATTTCTTCCATGATATATGCATATCTTATGACCGGGGTGTATTAGCATATTTCCTCTGCTTTTGCCTTTTAATTTCTGTCGGTTCACTTCACTTTTCCACCTTAATCGATACTGTATATCAAGAATGAAACTTTGCCTTGGCTTGTGTAATTTGTATATAAAGTAGCCTCTATAGAGGACTTTGATGCAAACATAAATATTAGTATATAAAGTGGCCTCTATAGTTGACTTTGATGTAAACATAAATAGGTACTTGCTTTGAAAGAGGGGCGTCTGACTAGAGGGAAAGTTGACGATAAAGTGGTTAACTTCAAATTGTTTGAAACTAAAGCCAGGATCTGATAACAACAACATAATATTGAATTGTTTTTATCAATGTAGTGTCGGTATGATTCACTCGTGAACTCTAACTTCTGTAATCATAGCGATATTAGATCCGTGGATTAAACTTGCGCGAGAACTCTTGGTCAAAAAAAAAAAAACTTGCGCGAGAACTAAAAGTAACTGATATATGTCATTCATCGATCTTTAACATTAAATTAAAGGCCTGAACACTTCTGGCGTTGAAAGATAGGTAGCGCTTGTAATCTCTTGGATGTTTGGCGCACTATATATAGTTAAAAAAATCATACAATAAAAATGACGCAATAAATAAATATATATTAATTTTGTTTTTGTATATATATAAAAAATATGAAAATTATTATAGCAAGTTGTACATTTCATGTATGATAAAAACCAACTTATTGTTTAATTTAAAGTACATGTATCGTTAGAAAAATGTGTGTCGTTAGTTATAAAAAGAAGGGAAAAAAAAAAGTTGAATGCCTAAACTTAGTGCAGTTATTTTTAACCTTGTATATATATCGTGCCGCACGCTGTTGCAAAAGGTTTGAAGTGCCAGAAAAACTGTCGATTCCTGTCACACACACGTGTGTGTGTGTGTGTGTTATTGGTTTGGTAGAGAAACATACAGTCACAGGAATGGTGTTCAAATTGATTACAAAGACAAAAGGGCAGTAATATTAGTGAAAACGCCAAATAAATATGGTGCTGTTAGAACTGAAATATTCTGGCGCGCACCAAGTTCACTTGTAATCACAACAAATATATTGTAGTTGAAATAATGCGCTAAAGAGAATGAATGGCCCCAAAGGAATTTTAACCCCCCATGATTCACACATCACAATCACAGTCAAACCCAATTAAATTAATTTGTGTCCATATATGTGTGTGTATACGTGTATATTCTTGTTCTTCATGCGCTGCATTAACTAAATTCTAAAGTCGTATATATGCATCATCAGATTGGTTGGATGCTCTTGAAGTTTGAAGGACGAAGTTGGAGTCAATGGTCGGCCAAGAGTGCCAAATGGATCCGAGGAAAGTTAAGTAATTAAGTATTTTTCCTGTTGGCCATATCCCACATTTGAAACATCTTAATTTCGAGATAGCGACTCCCATTTTGTTTTGCACACAGCCAATCACGGCCGTCACGTAAATTCTCAGTCCAAAAGCCAAGCCAGAATGCTAGTGCGTTGATTTTTCTCCCTTTCATCATTCCAATTATCTGCCTAAGTATAGCCACAATTACGCGCCCACTGTATCTCGTTAGAAAAACACGTAGCTATCTCACCAAAAAGGAAAAAACACGTAGCTCTTTTGAAAATTGTCATATATATTATTGCATGTATTGTAAAATGAAAAACAAGTAAAATATACTCTTTTGGTCATTAATATAAGATCTATTTAACTAATTTGATTAAATTAAGAAAGTTAAGTAAGTTAGTTAATTATAAAAAATATAACATGTTTTTTTTTTCTAAAATACCATAATCATCTTCTTAATATCCTTACTCGCTCACTTACTTCATTATGATTGAAGGAGTATCTATAGAAATAATTTAGAAAAAATTAATAAATATGAGAAATAGGTCTTATATTTGGAACCAATATTAACTTAATAATTAGGTCCCATATTACGGACTGGAGGAGCATATATATGTCTATATAAAGACTACTGTATATACACAGAGTATAAGTTGTGTTCAGTAGAAAAATTATAAATGGCATTTTATTTTCAATACTAAAATTCGAAGCACGCGTTAGAATAAGTTAATAAATTAGTGAGCATATACCAGATGGATGCTGATGGATCTGTATTATCCCCATTTTTTATAAGTTTTCTTATTGTCTAGACAGGTATATATCACCAAATTACGAAATGTTCTGTACTCAAATTAAAGAGGATGTATATATGGTTTAAACAAGCCTCGCTTTATATTTAATTTTCTTTGAAATAAACAGACGCAGAAGAGCTAACGAGGAAGATTCCGATAATGATGCCTTCGTGGACCTTTAAACTCTCAATTCCCAAAGTTAATATATCAGCTTTTTTGTTTGTCACAGTTGAAAGCCAGATTGGACTATGCAGTATGCACACGCACAAAGGCTTCCCAGCCTCCAAAAACTTTGTCGACAAGACTTCAAAGTGAGTAGACAAGTTTACAAAACGCTGCAGCCCAGAAAATTATTAAATTAGAGCAGCAAACGCATTGTTTCTCTGCTTTTAAACGGTTAATCTGAAAAAACTGCCAGTTACTTTCTTTTTTTTTTTTGGTAAAAAAAAAAACTGCCAGTTACTTAGCTACGCGTCCTTGGGTCAGGACAGTTAACCGCTGCTTGAACCCGGCTTTGTGATGAGCTGGATGAACGAAAAGCTGACCACGTATAAGTAAGCGTGTAAGCCGATTTCAAGCCGGGATACTTAGATCGATCCCCTACGGTTCATTGATACAATGTTTTGTCGAGAGCTGGTTATTTCCACGGCTTGGCTTGAGGAGTAGAGAAGATAATCAAGATATTGATGTTTGATGCGGCAAGAAAAATCAGTTTTTTTTTTTTTTTTAAAACTAGGTACAAGAATCCTTCTACTATATAAAGACAAATTCTCATACTTGTACCATCTAAGATGACGCGACTCATTATTACTCGTTAAAGCACAAGTCAACCCTTGTGGCGCTAGCGAAGACCCATAATCCAGGTCACGCGCCGCTCCACTCTACTATTCAAGCAAAGTTGGGGTCCAATGGCGCTCTATCATCACGAAATACTCCTTTTGTTCCTTGTTATAAGATCTAATTTTTTGAATTGATTTATTTTTTTTTATAAAATTCTTTTTGACTTTGTCTGAACATTTAATACATTATTACCTATTTTACTCATAATTTAATACATCTAATATATTCTTTTTATTCATTTATCTCCCTATTACTCTCTCATATCTACTCATTTATATATAGGGGTATATTTGAGAAAAAAAATATATTTACTACATATTAATTACTTTTAACTAATTTTAACTGTTTTTTTTTAGATGTCACAATTTAATTAAAAAGATCTTATCATAAGGGTTGAAAGAAGTATAGAAGTAGTTAAGTTATAAGTATTTTACATTTAAAATGTTTAGTGATCGCGAAAAATATTGTTAACATCTCACGGATCTACTTGCACTCCGGCGACCGCGTGTACCAGACGGCGAAAGTAAACAGGACATCATATTATTTTGACAAAATTTAAGAAATACATGTATAATTTATTCTAAAAACAATAATGCCATACGTAATATGTAGGAGCTGTGTTGTTTTCGTAATTATTCCCTCGATACATTTTAACCCACTTATATTGTAATTTATTTATTTTCTTAAACGAAACAAGCTGTAGACTTAAATATAATCGCATGTCAATGTCAATTACCGAGAAAATTTATAGCAACATTACTCTCTGGCAAGACAGCCAATAATGTTGAAACAGCACACTAGTGCTCAACTTAATATATTACTCCTCTGGTCCTATAAATGGGATAGAGAAAAAAGACATTTTTTTATCCTATTTATAAAATATTGAGAAATTTTTTTATATGGATGTATAATTTTATCTTTCATTTTTTTGTGTGTTGGCTTTGTTTACATGAGGTATAATGTATATTAAATAGGGATAAAATTAAGTTAGTAAAAAAAAGATAAAATTAAAAAGTTGTTGAATTTTAAATAAGAATTAATAAAATTTAAGGTTCTTCTAAATCTATGTAAAACATAATGAAAATGACTTATAAATAAAATCACAGGAGTATTAATTTAGTGCCCTCAGCCCCTCCTGAAGGCATTCCAGCATTATTCAAAGAACAATGAGATTCAGGAGATTGTGTGTGCGCAATAAGATGCAAAACCGTGTCATTTTAGCAGGCTTTGTTATTATTATTATTATTATTTCAAATTAATTAGTTCGGCTCCGAATCAGTCTGTGACCCGTGAAATGAGCTCTAGCGGCGTCATGTCCCAGCGATGGGGTAGAAAAAGGATTTAGCGGCGAAACTGGGGCCCAACTAATGGCCAATTAAATTTGGGCTCTATTCAAACCCTCTGTGGGGCCCTCAGAACATGCAGTGAACAAATTGGCATCACAACGCAGGCTCTCTCTCTGTTGAATAGTTAAACGACGAGTACGATTACTTCCTAACACTAAAACCAGACCCCGTCGCAGAATGCCACGGAAATTACACGCCTCTCGTTCCATCAAATTGCCATTTATTCCATTCCAAGGTCATCAGGTAAAATAAAAAAAAAAAAAATCCAAGGTCCCACTTCATAATATTAATTTCTTCACGAACATTTGCTCTTTAGGTTGCCTCTAACTAGTTCTGGTCAGTTCCACATTTAGCATTTAAATAATCAAAGGTGCAATAATCGCGTTGCAAATGCGTGTCACTAAATTACCACCATGAGAGGGCACGTCCTCTTATGGATGACTAGTAGTTCAAAGTTCAAACAACGTGTGATCCTCCTCAGTGTGTTAAAGAGTGCCTCCGTTGGTAAACTGCATTATATTATAATTAGATCCTCACTTTCAGGATCATGCTTTTCTCAGGGGGATATCAACACACATTATTATTAAGTCAATTCCTTTATTTGATTAGTTATATAAAAGTTAATGACAAAGTATTATTTTTCTCTTGAATGCCAGGTGCCCGCGATTCCCGATGTTCCCTGTGACGTAAAAATACTAGTTTTAATATGAAAAAATTGCAATTAGGTCCCATCCAAAGGAATTAAATACAAAAAGTCTCTTGAAATCATAAAATTATTTTAAAGTCCCAAAAAAATTTTGTAATAAATTTTATTTGTTTAATTACCAAATTATCCTTTTTCTTCTTCTTTTTTAAAAGTTTACATTGACAACTAAAAGAGCAGTGGTTGACAACTTAGAATTGTCAAACTAGCCGCGATAGTTGTCAATCCTTGCACCTGAGTTGTCAATTACTGCTCTTTTAGTTGTCAATACAAATTTTTTTTTAAAAAGAAGAAGGGTAATTTGGTAATTAAACAAATAAAATTTATTACAAAAAGATCCCTTAGGACTTCAGAATAATTTTATGATTTCAAGGGACTTTTTTGTATTTAATTCTCTTGAGTGGAACTTAATTCCAATTCCCCCTTTTAATATTCTTTGTCATTTGCTTTAAAAGCATCTTTGGCCAAAAAAACAAGCAAACAAACGAAGCATCTTTCTTTCTTCCTTCCTCTTTTTTCAATACCCACCAATTAATTAAACATCGTTTTCTTGTACAATTTACCCACATTATTATACATATACTTGTCTACTAAACGAAGTATGAATTCACCATAGACAAACCCCATGCAAGCACAGCTGCAGGGTTTATTAATTGCACCAGTGTGTTTTTTTTTTTTAAAAAAAATCCTCGAATAACGACACTAGCCAAGCATAAGGGAATTGATTTTGAGACTCATTATGCGAATGTGCAACTCCGAAAACAAGCAGCGTAAAAATGTTTTATCTTGAATTAAATTATTATCATCTCACCATGTACTATCATGTATACAAAAAAGGGGAAGAAAAAGGCGGGAAAAGAATGAACTTGCCCCAAAAAAAAAAATCATGATTTTGAGTTAATTAGACGAAGGATAGGATTTGAGCAGAGGAGGAGGAATACATGCGGAATTCCTCCAAACGCTGGAGTGCAATCTCAGAACCTCCTTGGCCCTTTCCTTCGTCTTCAAGCTTGCTTCCACCTGAAGCACTAAACACAGCTTACAAACCGCACCCACCTGCAACATTTCCTGAACCACCCTCCCATTCGCCGAGTACCTACAGATTGAGCTCAATATCTTCACACATCTATCGGTTGCCATGTGTGATACCCTCAGAATCTTCTTCGACACAATGGCCACTCCGGCACCGTGCTTCACCAACTCTGCTCTTCCTTCCGCACACCCGCACAGTTGATCCAACGCTATGAGAATCAGTTCGCACGCTCTTCTCTCCGATGCTTCCAGAAGCATCTCTATCAGCACCAAAACCACGCCGCCTTCCACCGCTTTGATTCTGTTCTTCCCCCATGGACTCAGCTCCACCAATAGCTTCAGTGCTGCCTTTGAAGCTTTCTGTGAAATCTTATCTCGCAACACCCTCATGAGTTCCACGAACAACTCTGTTCTCACATTGATCAGTTGGGTTGGATCTGCCACTCCGAACGCTGATTTTAGTAATATTGTTGCGTAAGCTCGGGATTGGTAGTTCCCTCTCCTCAGGATTTGGATCAAGGACTCGATGAATTTAATGCTCTCGTTGCTGACTAGATTCTTGACGTGAGATTCTGAAGGATTTAGATGGTACAGAACCTCAAGTGCTGCTACACTACCCATAGCGGTGGTACATTCATCATCATCGTAGTTGACTTGCGATTCTATACTGCTAAACTTCAAGGTCGAAGCCAAGAATTCTATTGCCCCCGCAGACTCCAAATAAATCCTGTTCCTGTCGCTTTCGAAAGCGATGGATCGAAGCCTTCTGAGGCATTTAAGATGGTTGTGCGGGGACTGGTTTGCTTCGGAGAGGAGTTTCGCGATCTGGATTCTCTCAATGGGTGGCTTCGGAGTCGGAATACGCTCGATCCCAAACGAGGCGTTAAGGGTGCACCAAGCCTGGATCAGACGTCGAAGCGTGTGGTTTGGCGTGAGATCTGCATCTAAAATGGACTGCTTCGTCACAGGGCACGTCCTGTTCTTGCACGAAAACAGCCATCTCTCAATGTTTTCTCTGTCGTAAGTGATTCCGGTGCGCACCGTGACGGGGTCTCTCATGAGCTGCAAGGAAATGGGGCAGAGAAAATGAGAAGGAACATCGATTTCATCCATGCTCGGAAGAAAGAGGCGATGGAAGCGAACAAGTAGTTGAATGGTTGAGAGAGATGTTCGAAATATGGGAAGGAGATGAATGGGACATTAATGCGTTGAGAAAAGAGTGGGAAAAGGATGGGGTTTTTAATAGGAGTGGGAGTAATAAACGGGGAAGGTCAACACACAGAAATTGAGATTAGAGAGAAGGGAAGAAGGGTTGAATTTAATAATGAGGGCCTTTTCAAGGTTTGGGGAGGAGAAAAGCTGAAATGAGAGACTTTGTTTAAGTCACAAGTTGGAAAGTGCAATGAATTAAAGCCCCTTGAAAGGGGAAGATTTTGACTTAGCTTGCACTTTTTGAGAGACGTGAATAGTTTAATGTGTGATAAATGCGGAGGAGGCCAGAGTGCTTTGATGAGTCTCATGCATTGTGGCATGATTGGATACCCAGCGGCTCACGCATTCCTCGGCTTCCGCCATTATTGCTTCCCTGAGAGAATTGATGGCGTCCGCGTCGGGAGCTGGGTAATATCGCTTCCGCAGCATTATTCTTGTTTCGCCCAAACCCTTTTACCGTTCTGTGCATCCAAACCCCGCCATTAATTATTAATTAATTTTACCAATTCATCTTACACATATTCTTACTTCAATTCTACGTTAATCCGCCACTTTTTTTTCTTATATTTTATATTAGTGCCCTATATAGCACAGCTTGTTCGGGGTTTTGACTGCACTCCACCACGTTAATTTTTTTCCCCACCAACTACCCTTATAATTCAATGCACAAATTTTCCCCTACAAATGAAATTATAATACTATATATTAAATGAGAGGGGTGTTTCTAAAATAGAATCACAAATTGTCAACACATTAACCGGAAATAATTAATTTGTTTTTCAGTCTCTATGGTTTAGGTGGAAAGTTACTTCAATTAGGAGGGGAGTATTTTATATTCATGACTGTGGCATATTTTTGCCCAACAAATTAGAAATTAGTTGTTTGTGGTGGCGTATGATTAATGGAAAATTGATATTATGTAAATTGATGTATAATCATATTTTTATGATTATACCATGAGTGTCCTAAGACCAAGAACACCACCACCCCGGGAAAAAATAAAAAATAAAAATGACGGGTTTAGCTGGGACGATGAACTCACAATTAATTAATCATTTTCCGTGTTTCCATTTCGAGAAGCAACTGATCCATGGGATGGTGACAGATGTAAACAAAGACGAGGCAAAGGCATCTTTACATATTTAAATTTGGACTTTTGTTCACTCAAAAAAAGAAAGGGCCTTTGTGGTTGCAGCATCAATTTGTAGAGGATTTGAATGGATCAACACAGGAACCTTCCAATTCGCTAGCTGGAGTTGTGAATGCGATAATGTACCAGACACAAACCCACATAGGAGGCGTATAATATATAATCGGCCGCAGACGCTTCTGTTTTCTAAAAGCAATTAATTAGAATCCACGCGCATGAGTACTCTCTGTTGTGACCAATGTAATAATCCAGGAACATGAAAATCATCCATCTGGTGTTAACATGTTTTTGTTTAGCTTTTATTTATAAAGAGGAATTCGGGAAGATCCTGGCTCATCTCCGTCATCCCATGTGCACCAAAATTGTAATCCTCCTCCGGTTCTTAATATAAGACCCATTTAACTAATTTGATTAGATTAAGGAAGTTAGGTAAGTTAGTTAATTATAAGAAACGTGACATGTTTTTCCTAAAACACCATGATCATCTTTCTTAATACCTCTCTCCCTTTTCTACTTGATTATGGTTGAGGGAATATCTATAGGGGTAATTTAGAGAAAATTGATAAATATGAGAAATGGGTCTTATATTTAGAACCAAAACTAACTTAACAATTAGGTCCTATATTAAGGATCGGAGGAGTAATAATATAGTATGGGCTTTAATTTCAGTAACTTGCCTTTACGGCATCGAAAACTTAAAACCAACGAGGGACAAGGATTTCAGAAGAAGGGTTGAATAGATGAACTAAAAATGTGGCAAATATTAATGGGAAGGCGAAAAAATTAACAGACACCACTAGCCGTCGCCGTAACGTATAACCGGAGATATGATATGAATGAATTAACGGTATTCAAGGGGCGTCATATTTAATTTAATTAATTCGTGTTTTTTGCTGATAGGATGAGCGTATGAACTTAATTTATGGTTGGATGAATGATGAATGGCGTGAGAATAGAATAGTCAAAAGAGAGGAGCTTAGTTAGGAAGGCAATGCATGTGATCCACCACCGCCTCCCAGTTTCAACCGATTATTATTTATCCATTCATTCTCGCTTCTCGTTTCATTAACGCTCCCTTGTTTCTTCTGCTTTCTCATTTTCTACTTTTATTGATTCCTCATTTTTCCCACACCAAGGCATATTTTAGCTGCTAATCGCTTTCCTTGTCTCTGGCTAATTAAAATTATTTGGTATTTCTTTCTCCCAAAAAAAAAAGAACAAGAAGAAAAATACTATTTTCAGATATTTAAGTTGTTTTGTTTATATGTTAAAAGGCTATTGGTCTTGCTGGAAAAAAAAAAAAGGCTCATGTTCTTTTAAAACAGAGATAAAGGCCATTAGATTTTTCATTTTTAGCATCATTTAATTAGACGAGTTTGAAAGAATTTTAATTTTAAATTTTGGCGGAACACACACACACACACACACACACTCCATAAACGCGAGGATTTGTATATGAAGTATTGCTATTATCTAAGCAGCTAAAATTAAAATGTGAAGAACGAAATTTAATGGAATCAGGAATTTACGAATCAAAGCGGAATGAAGCAAGGGTGAGCTGGCAACGCTACTCCGTTAGTTGGACCGCCGCTGTGAACAAACACCAATCAAGTGGAATTGTTTATGGAGCGTTGAGTCAACCCGTTGACTAACCTGCAGCGCCGGGTTTTTAGAATCATGGCCTTGAGATCTGAACAATCCCCCGAGCAACAAAATAATAAATGATGACCATGAGAATGAGAATGGTTTGATTTAAAATTATAAATTACTTATATAATTAATGTTTATATGTAATTATTTGTATTTTTCCCTCTTCTCCATAATCTCATTTAATATGGATAAAGTTAGAAAAAATTAATTTGAAAGAAATTTAATGAGTTAACTATTTTTTTATTTTCATAAATTAGTTAAAGTAACTAATATCATTGTGAATGAGGATTGTGCTGTAACTAGGTAATTTCATAATTCATAATTCTTCAAGAGCACAGTATGATCCAGCGTTTCCAGCGACGGTGCGTGGTGCAACGGTTTTTCAAGAAATTCAATTTAAGAGTCAGAGCGCAGTTTCTGTTAATGGTGTTTTTTTCAATAGTAGCACAAATTTTAGATTAGATCTCATTAATTATAACCGTCTCACTTGTCTCGGTAACCTCACGATCCAACACAACTCATGATCCCATCTTTTCTTTATTATTATTATTATTACTAATATTTTTTCTTTTTGGGGTACTGAGGATATCATTATTGATTATTGATCCCACGTGATCCCATCACGCACCCATGTTGGGCAATGTCCTGAAAGACTTGCGAGGCCTAACTTGTCCATTAAGGATCCATGTTCATGTGGTGTGTGGGAAGGGAAGATAAGGGTTAGCCCGCTATCATAAGTCCAGTCTTCCATTACTCCATTTTCATTCTCGCAATTCGCAAACAATGCACATCTTCTCCACCCAAAAACCCAACGAACGATAATGGACTTCTCTTTAATGTTGGGCAATCGACTTTCCTTTGCTATCCTGATCCTAAAACGCCAAGTTTAACCAATCGGAATTGGGTCTGGTTGTGAGACTTAGTTTTTTTGTAACATGATGAATTGATATTTGAATTCTTGTTAAAACAAGTATCTAGATAGTGCCTCAAACATATACATGTATGGCTCTATCAAGCAAAAGAAAAAAAAAACCAAGTTCACTGTTACACTTTTTTTTTTAAAAAACAAAAAAAATTCTACGACACCAGACTTCATTCTTGTTGCGATCCAAGCATTAAAAAAACACAAGGAAAAAAAAAACAGAGACAATTAGTACTAATATGCAAACAAAACAAATTAAAAGATCTTCCTAAATCTTCATTTAATTAAGCAAATACACATACAGTTAAGCACGAAATTTCTTCTTTTTTTTTGGTACAATTAAGCACGAAATTTCTGATATATATCTCCTCGTACCTCTTGACCTGTTGCTTAATTACTGATATTTCACGTCGGGCATCCCACTGCCAACGGTGTTTTAAGCATTTTTTTAATCTTACATTGAAATTTACAAAGACCTCGGATTTTAATTTGTAATTTGACAAAAATACAACCAAGTTCTATGAGGAAAAGTCTCTCTCTCTCTCTCTCTATATATATGTGTGTGTGTGTGTGATTTCAGTCCAAATACGTAGTTCTTATTGTGAAAGCCATGAGAAAGCAGAGCAAAATATGGTGTTTATTAACATCAACCTGGCCACCAACCCTAACTATTTCCTACAAGAACGCCCCCCACCCCCAATACCTCTCACCGTCGGTGTTAATTAGGGTCCATTTCACTGTCCTGTCCCAAAGGAACGGTCACTTCATGGCGCTGTCGCGAATGTCGGGTAATGTTTTATGTTGCTGTACGTGCAGAGTCAATTTATGACAGACTTCCTTGGATTTTGGCCGCACGAACAATCCATGTCCCTTTCTCCGCCACCATTTTTGGTTAAGATAGCACCATTTCGTTCCTCAACCTCCACATGAAATATTGCATTTTCCAGTACGCCTATCGCTTTTCCCTCCCCATTTTAATTATTCGGTGCAAAATCGACGTAGCACGTGTTGTATATATCACGACAACACAATTTTGTGAACCACTGGTTTTATATATTCGTTATCTCTCTGCTTCTTTTTCCTAGTTTCACATTTAAGGCCCTAATCCATAAACCAAGCATATGTTTTTTCCACGCCCCAAAAAAGGGTTATTGTGAGGGCATTCATTCCTAATGTCGGCCATCTTTTTTGGTAATGCGAAATTATCTATATTTTTTTGCCGTACGTCAGCCAATC